GAGAACAACTTTTGGGAAAGCAAGGCTATGTGAAATTCAATGGAAACGTCTGCTAAACTCATATCATTGTAGGAAAATTCTTCTTTTACCAATCCTTCATCACATTAAACGAAATTAGGTAAATACATCTCATATTAATTATGAACAAATGGCATTATACCATTTTAAGCCTACGAATTAGATACTTAAAAGTAGAAGATAAAACACATAAATAACTAACAAAATATTTCAATTGTTTAATTAATCAATTTACTTGGTTTACTCTAAGCAACCAAATCAATGAAAAAATTAATTCGAAATTTTCATTCATACTAGACCATCCTAAATCTTGTTCACTAGATTGCTTTGGTTCGCTTAGGCGACACCATAAGCATTTTAACTCTATCCCTCACACTGCGTAGCTTCACTTAACGATTCACTAGATCGCATCCTTAGCCAGGAACCTCACGTTCAGCTATGCTCACTGTATCGAGTTGGTCCAAACTTTGCTTTGTTAAATATATGAAGACAAAGATGTTGTAACCTCTGGTATCGTCGTAGTCCCTTTCAATTAATTGGCTGGTCCGAGATGGAGAAGATGCTCTCGCGAGTGGGGTTGTGAGCCTAAACGGGCAGAAGTGGGTTGTTCTTGTTGTCAGGGCGACTTAGTAGAACGCACCTAGTCCGAAGTCGTCTGCCATAGTAGTTGTCATGATTTTCAGCATCAGACAGTGGACCTGGTACATTCTCAAAAGTTTCGCTGGCATCGTAGTCGACAACGTCAGTGAGTTTTGCCATTCTCTGCACCAAGCTACGAACTCGTCAGATAGACAAGTAAAGTCAATCCCTCGATAAACTTTCTGCAGAAAACGGTTACACTATCACTCCTCTTTCTGTCCTGGCCTATCTATCTACTCTTAACCCTCTTCTCCCACTGCCGCCCTATCACAACTTCTCACTTGTTTACATTCCACTCGTCAAAATGTGTGCTCTTCTGTGGCAAATTTAGTGTGGCCTCATCACACTTGTTATTTACCCTGGCCCCTCTCTTTCAATCGGCTGATCTGACTCGAGCTTCCAATCCGGATCCTCTCATTGTCTCGTAGATCCGTTCCTTATCCTTTTGGTTGACCGATTTCACTTGGCCCCAGTCCCAGCGTGCATTTCACTCCAGGCGCTATTTCTCAAGGCCCTAGAAGCACGTACACTGCCGCCTTACTGAGCAGAGCGCATAAGTTCTGATTCCCATGCTTGCAGGTATCAGGCCTTCCCTTCACGGGTCCTCTCCTTCATTAAACCTATCTTATCTGAGCAAACTGTGGACGCCTATCTCTGGTCGCATGCGGCATCTTAAGTAGATTTCTAGTACATTTTGATCATAATGCCGAATTTCTGTCACGGTTTGCTTATCCTTCGGCCTTGCTCCATGATCGCCAGGCCCCCAAAGTTGTACTGGTTTATTCGAAATTGACATCACGCACCGACAACGTCTTCGCTGTATTCCCGAAAATCCCCGCCCCTCTTTTCTCATCGCGACCCCTTTTCCTCTGGTTAGTGGTAGATCTTTGATCCAGGCATCTCCTTTTTCTGGTATTGCTCTATTCTTGTTTTCCCCGAGTTTGCTTAGGCAATTGGCAAAGTTATCGCTAACTCTACCTTCCTCCAATCTCATGTTCATTAGATTTTTCTCTCCAACTATGTCAATGGCCTCCCTAATCGTCCGCTTCCTTGTGTTGTCACCGTATAGGCCTTCTTTCTGTTGCCTTCCAATTGATCTTGTGTCCTATACGTTTGATGTATTGCGCTAGTTCTGTTCTTTCGGTATCCATTTTCCCGCAGAGCGTGTGATGTTCCTTGATTCGTGTGCTAATTTTTCTCCCTGTCTCGCCAATACATTTCTGTTCGCAGACGCCGTATGATATACAGTAAGCTCCTGAACAATCCAATTTGTCTACCGTTTCATATTTCGTCAGTAGACTTGTGAAAAGTGTTGATTTCTCTTTCATGGCTACCTGAATATTCCATTTACTCAATATTGGCCGTAATTTTTGAGTTAGTTCGCAGAAAGATAAGCATATCCACTTTTGTGAATCCTTCGTCGTCCTTACTGTTCTTTCATAGTCCCCGTTCTGCCATCGGCTTTTCACGGCCCGTATGTTTCTTTGTATCACATCATTTGGGTAGCCATTGCCGAGGAATATCCCCGTCAATGTGTCAAGCTTCTCGTCCCAGAATTCTACATTCTTTAGGCGTAGGCTTCGGATGATCATGCTCCTCATTATTCCAATCTTTAGCCTGTAATTGTGATGGAATCGGAAATTGAGTATTATCCCGGCATAAGACTTCTTTCTGAACAATTTCTTTTGAGCATCCCATTGGAACCAATCACTTCAACGTCCAGGAACGGTAACTGCTTACCTTCCTCTACTTCCATCGTAAATTGAATTTTTCCATCCATTTGATTTACAAACTTGAGAAACTCTTTCAGTTTTTCTTTTCCATGTGACCAAAATGCGAAGTAGTTGTCCAGGTAGCGCATGAGTGCTGCTGATTATAGCAGTGACATTTTGAAGTTAGCCTTTAATTTGTTTATTTACACATTTGCCAAAAGGGGTGAGAGCGGCGATCCCATGGGAAGTCCAAATATTTGTTCATCGATGTTCCCGTTGTCAAGTTGATTAGTCTTGTTAACCACTCTTTCCTGATCCGTTGTGATTCCATGATATCCTCCTCTCGGTACATTATTTCCAGCAGGGCCGTTAGCGCATTTTCTCCAGAGCTATTTCTATACTTGGATTCCACATAGAAGCTGACCAATAATTCTGTTTCTTCTAATGCCATGGTTTTGATTATTTGAGAAAATTGATATGAATGCTTCACTTTTTGATAACCTGTCATTTAATTTCTTGTGTTTCAAACATATGAACTTTGCCAATTTGTGTGTTGCTCCATACTTTTTGTTGACTATCAGCCTTATTGGCTCGCGTTCTTTGTGTGGCTTTGGTAATCCGTATGCTGTTGGTGGTCGTACATCCTTTCTTGTGATTGAATTTCTTGTCCATGCGTCAGTTTCCCAATTCCTATGCCGACTATGATGCCGACGAAACGTTTGGCAATGTACCAAGTCCACTGTCTGATGCTGGGAATCATGGCAACTACTATGGCAGACGACTTCTGACTAGGTGGGTTCTACTAGGTCGCCCTCACAACATAACCAAGTTGCGACAACGATGTCAATCCACTTCTTTGCTTTGTTAGTTTTCACATGCAGGATTTCTGATTCCTTTTCTTTATGATAACTCAATAGGTCAACCCACTTTATCTTTCTTAGCCTACTCACTTCTGTTTCATTGAAGAGTAACTCACGAGTTCCTGTAAACGTCAACATTTGCTTGAAACTACTTCAATTTTATATCGTTTCGCCCATTCTCTGGTTAAATCAGATACGTAGTCATTGTAGCTGATAGGAAAGCAGTATGGAGATAAATCATTAAACTGCAAAATGAATGCTTTATGATTACCGGCAGTAAAATGGATGATTGGCTCAAGTCGAAGTTTTTGAAAGTGGCCAGGCTTTGAGAGGAATAAAGAGTGGGACGACGAACCCGGAGCAGTCGATAAAGAAGCACCAGTTGAGGCTGTAGGGGAACTAGGAGAAGTGAGGAATGCTGAAGAGGGTCGTTTGTCAATGGCATCAGGAAGGGGTCCGGCGCCTCGTGCCTCGTAGGTAGTGAGCTGAGGATAGTGACTGGCCACATCATCGGTGACATCGAGTAAGAGGGCTGTATGCAATAATAGCAGAAAATGCAAATTATAGCATATCATAGCCCCAGAGGACCTGCAAGCCGAAATA